ATTTGATTTCTATCAGGACACATGCCCAGGTTGCAGGCTCGATCCCCAGTGAGGGGTGTGCAGGAGGTAGCATGTGTTTCTCTCTCATATGGATGTTTCTATCTCTCTCTCTCTGTTGTTTTTTTTTAAAGTCCACCCTTACTTTGTAATTGAGGAGAGTCACTGGTTCTTGGTTCTAAAGTCTATAACCCTTAGGAAAAGGCTCAGCAAAAGATGACAGAGATAAAAGACAGTGTTGTGCCTTCAAGTTTAACCCACTACCCTTTGGTAAACATAAGGCTGTTTCTTTCTCACCAATAAAAGCCACAACAGCAGATCACAACTCCCTTAGCTGGCAGTCAGGCCAAAGTGTGATTTACCATCCTCTTTATGGTAATCAGAGGTACTCGTTCACACACTTAGAATGATTAGTGAATACGTCGGTGGGGTGCATGCTGCTTGACAGCTCTCTATACTTGTAGAAATTATAATATTTACTTCCAAAGCAACAGTTGTGGTCACCAGGGTCATGGTCTACAGATTCATCTGTCACCTGAACAATAAAGTACTAACTCTGAACTTCCTTTTTGTTGGTTGGGGCATTGACTTCTGAGCTGTGATAACAAAGAGGGTACAAACTAGAACTTATTTTTGCCGATCCATACAATATTTTTATTATAGCTACTATACGTTCAGTTAGAATGAATAGAACTCCTCTGGTCTAAAAACAGATGTTTTTGTAAGAGAAAGGGTGACCCCCTGTGGCAGTTTTAAAACATGACTGAAAAATCTTGGGCACTTCTTGTATCATGGTGGATGTATATCCCGTGGTCTTGACCCTGGGTGGCTTGTGATGACTCTGACAGCTCGGGCTCCTAGGAGACTTCTGAGGTCAGGTAGAAAAGGCTCTGTGGTAACACTTGCTCTTGGAGCCCTGAGTCACCATGTATGAAGTCTGATCACCTTGAGCCCTCCATGCAGGAGAGGCCATATGTAGGCAACATGGTTGACAGTTCCAGCTGAGCCTGGATCACCAGCCATCTGCACCCAAGTGGCAGACATGTGAGTGAAGCCACCAGTCATCTGCCTCATGAAACAAAAAAAATTATCCTATGGAGGCTAGCTCAACTTCCTGACCCACAAAATCATGATATTTAATAAAACAATGGTTATTTTAAGCCACTATTTAGGATACATAATTGGAGCACACCTTGCGTTAGTTCAGGTCCTTTAAAAAGCAGATGCCAAGACGAGGTTAGACATGCAAGAGATTTATTCCTAGGTGTCCTTCACTATACCTGGGGGAGGGGTGGGCCCCGGCTGCTTTGCTCAGCGGTTAGAGCGCCAGCCTGCGGACCGGAGAGTTCTGAGTTCAGTTGCCGCTAAGGGCATGTGCCTTGGTTGCAGTTTGTCCCCGGCCCCGGTTGGCGTTGTGTGGGTGGCAACCAGTTGATGTGTCTCTCTCACATCTATGTTTCTCTCTCCCTCCCACTCTATCTGAAGATAAATGCAAAAAAATGTCCTCAGGTGAGGATAAAAAAAAAAAATTGGGGAGGTGGAAAGAGCCTTTAGACCACAGTGCAGATCTGGAGACTCTTAAGTCTTAGGATACATCACAGTTCTCAGAAAGTTTTAACTAGGCTGATGGGGTCTCAAGCCTATTAGAAAGGCCATACTTATCCAGACTACTTAACTATCACAGTGCAGTTTTGGACTTGTGTGTTATATGTGGTATTCTAGAATTTATAGAATGTAGCTTAGAAACTCATTAAAATAATTTAGAATCCCAGTATTTGAGCTTTCTCCCTCTCACATTGCATACTTTTTATTATAACACTTGAACTGCAGATTCTTTTTTTTTAAATCCTCACCCCAGGATATTTTTACAATTATCTTCAGAGAGAGAGAGAGAGAGAGCGAGAGAGAGAGAGAGAGAGAGAGAGAGAGAGAGAGAGATCAATGTGAGAGAGACACATCAACTGGTTGCCACCACATGACCTCAGTTGGGGCCAGGGACAAACTGTAACTGAGGTACGTGCCCTTGGCTGGAATCAAACCTGGGACTCTTTAGTCCACAGGCCGATGCTCTAAGAGCTGAGCCAAACTGGCTAGGGCAGACTTTGAGATTCTTGAAGGAGGTTTTTATGTATCTTTCGCCTGTGCATTTCTTCACTCCCCAAGTTTCTGACTCAGTGAATGTTTGTAGAATGGTTAACTGAGAAAAATGGTTAAGTTATGCTTTCTGTGTAGTTCTCAGAATAAATTGTAATTTCTGGTTTATTTAAAAAGATTCATCATTGATGAAATATCTGAATGTTTATCACTTTTTAAAAATATGTTGCAAACACACTTCTAAATAATCATGGTAAAGAAAATCACATGTAACCTAGGATTTTTTTTCTTTTGTACTTCGCTATTCTTATCTTGGTAAATTGGTCAATATTTTTTTATAGTCTTATCAGCTAGTCCTGGCCTCCTGCCCTTTTCTGAAAGATTATGCAGGGAGAGTTTATAATTCATAAGCCTGACATTTTAGCTGACTTCCTAGAAAACAAATCTCATCTTGTGAATTCCTTACCTAAAACCTTCACTGTCTTTGTAGCCTATTGCAATGGTTTTCAAATTTTTGGGTTTCATGCATTAGTATCATTTATAACATCGGGGCACTGACATTTATTTGGCAAGTCTGAAGATGTCTCTGATTGCCATGACTGAGGATGTTCTGCTGGCATCTAGAGGCCAGGGAGACTGCTTAGCATTCAGCAATGCTGGGGACAGCCTCCAGTACAGAATTACCCAGTGGATCATGCCAACAGTGCTGAGATTATGAACCTTTACTTATGCACAACAATGTGAACATACTTCACTATACTGCACCGTGTGTTCAAAAATGGTTAAGATAGTAAATTTTATAATATGTGTATTTTATTTTTATTTAATTTTTAACCCTTACCTGAGAATATTTTTCCATTTGTCATCAGATAGAGTGGGAGGGAAGAAGGGGGGCGGGGAGACATCGATATAGGAGAGACACATGGATTGGTTGCCTCCCAAACAACTTGACCAGGGTCAGGGACGAACCTCAACCAAAGTGCGTGCCCTTGACTGGAATCGAATCTGCAACTTATTGGTCCATAGGCTGACGCTCTAACCACTGAGCCAAATCGGCCAGAGCTGATATGTGTATTTTAGCACAATTTTTTAAAAAAAGAACACGCGTCATGACAGTCTAGGGAAATTTTCTGTTTACAAGTCAGGTTTATGCTATTTTGATAGGAATAAAAGTTTAACTTCTTTGCTTCAGTTAGAACTTAACTTATTAAGATTGGAGTATGTGGTGAGTACACAACAGAGCCCTTATCTCAGATATCATAGGAGAGCCAGTCTAGCTACGCTGTCAGGGATTTGTAAACAACGGACATAAACTTACGCAGGCTAACTTAAGTGAGAGACAAAATTTATTAGAAGGTAATGCAGGCAGTTGCAAAATTTGGAAGAGAAGCCTGCACCTAAGCTGTTTGTAGCACAGGACCCAGGGCAGCTCAAGGAGTGAATAGGTAGCATCTTCAAAACCCACTGCTGGTATGGGTTAGCCTCCAATGTTTTCGGCGGAGTGTTTGATAGGCCACACTTAGGTTCTGTACTCTTCTAACAGGCCAGGCAGTGCGTGGCATCGTGAGTGATGTCCCTGTGTACAGTCCCTGTCCTCCAAAATAGAATGAAAGGATGCTGGGCAGGTAAAAACAATTGATATCCATTTCAACTGCAACATAAATCTGTCTTCTGCTACCCAAACCAAAATGCAAAAAGGCAAACAAACAAAAATATGCTTTAATATGTTCTACATTTGCTTACATAAATCTTATGGAAATCCTTTAAACTCTCTTCATCTGTTTGCCATCTCCAAAATGAGAGACTTGAATTCAATGACTTCTAACTTCCTTTCATTCTGTTATTATAGACTTACTACCTTAGGTTTTCAAAGGGTCTTTGAATTCCTATTTGTATATACTTCATATTTTGCCTAAATTATAGGTTTGCCCCTTCATTGGATCTATCCTCAGAATGGCTTCCAAATGGCTTCGGTGGGTGTGTGTGTGTGAGTAACTTATAACAGTAAGAAAGTAAATTCAAATTCTTTATCTCTCTATTCATAGAAAAAACCATGCATGGGAAATGTAGAGGAGGGAGAAAGTCTGAAATGGCAAAGCCTTTGCCAGCTATGTGTCCCGCTAAAGGGTTTAGAGAGTGATTCATCCAGAGAAACACGAGTGAGTCTCTGTGTTTGGAAAGGGAAGCTGGAGCTGTGTGGACTTTGGGGAAACGAGTTTGTGGAGGAAGCCAGAATGAATGGAGTCTAGAAACTTGAAGACTAGGGGAAGGTATGGTAGAACGTTGGAGCCTGCAGAGGTAAGTGGCCAGTGAGAAATTTCTGATGCCGGGACGGGTGAGGGATTGAAGTATGGGGATAATACCTGGTTTTATTTTCATTCAATTCGTTGTCCTTGTGAAAGTAAAATATCACTGTTGATGCAATTCTTCCACCATGTCAAAAATCTCACAAGTAAAAGAGAAGAGGGCGAGACTGGTCTCTTGAGGGCACGAGACAGAGGAAAGGGAGCCCAAGCAGCTGTGGCAGGAGAGACACTGTGAAATCAGGAGGTCAGGTAGAAACATGGAGCCAGAAGTGACTCCTGGCATGTAAAACCCTGGGAATTCACATGCATTTTGTGGGAAGAATTGGATTTTCCAGAACACTTAGAGTGAGAACTTGGGCTCAAGGATGAGGGGCGCTGAGTGTACCTTTAGGCTACACTAACGAACAATAAAGGGTTGGAGCGCTTTCCTTATCCATCTGGTGATAGGGTAAAGTGCAGCTAAAGACCCAAAATAATGTGGTGGGACATATTTTTTTAGTCTTAGTCTTTGATTCCATTGTATAGTGTGTATTCTCTCAACAGAGAAACAGTGCACCCAAATATAAATCATTTTACCATGAAATAAAAATTTTGTTTGTTTATTTAAAATTTATTGATATTTTCTAAATGTAAGTCACTTGAGGAGAGACATAGATGGGTAAGACACAACTTGCCATGAAGAGCTCGTCCCCAGCACGAGAGGGAGACATGCAAACCCAACCACAACACAGGAGAGAGAGTGCTAAATGGAGTGCAGGAACAGTGCTCATCAATTCTGGTTGGAAAACAACGAGAGGGAATCCAGTGAATGAATGTGTGTTCTCTCGAAATTTCTAATTCTTTCTTCAATCATTTCTCTCTCCTGTCAAGAGAGAAAATAAAAATATTTTTGACATGGTATAAAAGACATAAAAGCCACCCTAAGACTATACAAACTCAAGAAATGTCATAACTGTGTATAATTTATTATTCACCCAACTCAGTTTTTTTCTGTGCCTGGGACAAAGTTTTGAAGAACAACCTCCAAAGACTGAGAAGGCAGTTTTGTGTAGAATGTAGGCCTGGGGGTTGGCTGTCTCTGCCATTTTACTAGCTGTATAATTTTGGGCAAATTACTTTTTAGCCTCTTTTATTTTTTTTATTTATTAAAAAAAATCCTAACCCGAGGATATTTTTCCATTGATTTTTCAGAGAGTGGAAGGGAGGGAGGGAGGGAGGGAGAGAGAGAGAGAGAGAGAGAGAGAGAGAGAGAGAGAGAAAGGGTGTGACCCGACTGGGGCCAGGGAATGAACCTGCAACCCAGATATAGGTCCTTGGCTGGGAATTGAACCTGAGACCCTTTGGTCTGCAGGATGATGCTCCAACCACTGAGCTAAACTGGCCAGGGCAATAGGTAGTGGTTTTGAACTTGTTTCTCCATAGCATTCTTTTTTGGAAATTGTCGTGTAGGAGTAGTATTCTAGGAACAAAATTTTAGAAATGCTGATTGGTAGTAAATTCTAGTTCAACTGACAGCTTAATTCTTTATCTTATTGGAATAATTGTCCCCTAAGGACATTATTATGTGGAAACACAGCCATTGCTCTTTTGGTCATTCAGAGACTCTTAGGTGAACTTTTTGCAGTATATTCTTATCATCCTGATATTTTGCTGGAAAGGTTTGATTATATCTGTGGACTTAAAGATATCATTCTGTGTTCTCCTTTCCAACTTGCTTTGAAAAAACTTACTAAGTAGCCCTGGCCAGGTATCTCAGTTGATTACAGCATTGTCCTGATGCGCCAAAGCTGTGAGTTCGACTTCCAGTCAGGGCACATACAAGAGGCAACCAAAGAATGCGTACATAAGTGGAAGAATAAATTGATGTTTCTCTCTCTCTCTCTCTCTCTCTCTCTCTCTCTCTCTCTCTCTCTCCTTCCCCTCTCTCTCAAATCAATAAAAGCAAACAAAACTAATGTTGTTTTTTGTTTAAAAAAACGTACTAAGTAGTGATAGAGATATATAATAGAAAGTGAATGAAATTCCACAGCCTTGGTGTGGAATCATTGTTCAAGCACTTGGCAGCCACATGACCTTGAACAATTCATGTAGCTTTTTTTTCTTTTTTTAATCCTTACCCGAGGTCAGATAGAGCGGGAGGGAGAGAGGGAAACATAGATGCAAGAGGGACACATTGAGTGGTTGCCAACCACACGACCTCAACCGGCGCAGGGACCAACTGCAACTGAGGTACGTGCCCTTAGCAGGAACCGAACTTGGGACTCTCTGGTCTGCAGGCTGAAGCTCTAATCGCTAAGCCAAACTGGTCAGGGCTCATGTAGCCTTTTGAATCATACTATTCTTGTCTTTATCTAGAGACATGGCTTTTTAACCTTTTTCCTTTCATTTCTTTTTCACTAACAAATAGAAATCAGCTTATTATTTTAAATTGAATTTGGAACTTGACTAAAACCAAAAAGTGTAGATTGGGCCATAGGGTATTCATAAGCATCAGGACTGGCAATTATAAGAAGTAACTGTCCACGAGTCACCCCTTCCCCACGCATATCCACAGCAGGAAGAGCCCAGCCACCGTTAGTCACCTAGGACTGAATTTCTGGGGGCAAGCGGCTAAAGAAGAAAGTGTTATGTTTATGTTCTTCAGTCCATTCCCACAAGGGAGACTCTCCTAAAGTATTTGAACTGAGCAAGAAAGAACAGTAAGTGGCAACTTGAAAAAACAAACAACAAAAACCTATCATGCCATTTTCATAATTTCACCAAATGATACCCTATTGTTGAAAACTTCAAATTGATATCCTCATAGTATAAAATAACATGGTTAAATTTCAGGTACCTAAGGTCTCAAATTTCTTTCCTCCATAGGCTTTTAGTGTGAGTTCCAGTGTGTTTTTCCAAGTAAATACCCATTTTCCAGTCTTTGTCATTCATGCCTACTCTAAGGAGACAATGCGACATACCCCTTATTTGAAATAATAAATATTACCATATAATTTCTGAATTCCTTCGATATCATCCTGTGAAAGTTTGAAATCCTTGGAATCTTTATCTTCATAGGTTGGATACATCACAGAATTAGGATCAGATGAATGACCCAGACCCAAAGAATGGCCAAGTTCATGAGTGACAGCATACAGAAAGTTAATCCCTACAACCAAAGAGTGACATACAGTAACTATGAAAATAACTGTATATAAAACATCATATAATATAGAATAATACTAAATGAGATAACGATAAAAATACCTAGCTCTTTAAATCCCCCACAGTTTACTTATTTGTTTTGAGCTTTCGTAAGTGGGGAGGAGGGTTTAGAAGGGGAATAGAATAGTAGTGTTTTAATTTCATCACTACTTCTGTGTCTTTTTTTAAAGTAATATTTTTCTGTCTATGAGCTTCTTATATAATTACTCAAATACCAGCATTCTGTAGAGGAAGGCAAAGACTTTAGAAGCATTAAGATCTGGGTTTGAAACCCAGCTCTGCTACTTATTAGCTGGACGACTCTGAACACATTAATTGATATTACTGAGTCTCATTTCCTCATTTGTTCAACAGAGATAATAATTTCTGCCTTGTAGATTTGTCAAAATAATTAGAGTTTCCCAATATCTGAAAAACAATGGCTACTCAATAAATGATAGTGACTCGGAATAGCAGGAGAAAGTTGGCTTTGCGAAAACAAGACTGAAAGGCAGAATCTCCAGGAAATTCAGGGTTTTGCTTTTTATTTATTAAATTTATTTATTATGCTTTTCTCTTTCTCAGACTCATAGAAAGGTTTTGCAAATGAGGGGGAGGGTGTGAGCCTGTGAGTTTGAGTGGTCAGAGTTCCAACTGGGGTGCATTAGACCGAAGGAAGCTGCCTTTAGCCTACTTTGAGTGGAAAGCCAGGAGAATGAAAAGATATGCAAAATGTGAAATGGACAGTGTCATAATTTCACATAGATTAGATTTTCACAATGTAGCATCACTAGAGAGGTGAATGCCCACTGCCAACCACAAGTACTTCCTTCCCTTTCAGAGCCAGTTAATAGCCTTTAAAAAATTATTTATTTTTATTATTATTTTTTTATTCTCACCTGAGGACTTTTTTTCCCCATTTATCTTCAGATAAAGAGGGAGGAAGAGAGGAAGGAAGAGAGAGAGAGAAACATCAGTGTGAAAGAGACACATTGAGTGGCCGCCACCCACACAGGGACAAACTGCAACCAAGGTACATGCCCTTAGCAGGAACCGAACCCTCTGCGGTCTGCGGGCTGATGCTCTAACCACTGAGCCAAACCTGCCGGGGATTTTGTTTTGTTTTGTTTTTGTTTAGAATTGTCTTCAATTCGAATTATTTATGCCAGATCTTCTGTCCATTAGTTTTCTGATGTGCCTGTAGTTTCCTACTTTGTAAGATGATGAATATAATGGGTTGGTCTATGGCGTGGGTTTTTCCTGAACAATAGTGAATACTCAGAATTGCATATAATTCTTAAATATCATTGTTACTGCTCCTCTTTTTCCTTCAATTAAAAAACTTAAACTTGGGGGAAACATAAAGAAAGAGCTATCATTTACTGAGTTATTATTATAGTCCAAGCACTGTGCTGAGCATTGTATGAGCATTATCTCATTTAATTCAAACAACATTCTGTGACTGAGAATTATTTATAGTCCCGTTTCACAGATGAGGAAACAGGCCCAGAGAAGTTGAATAACTTGCCCAACGACTAATTGAATCAGTCATTGGTAGAGGGATAGCCAAGTGACTCCATAGCCTGAGCTTCCATCTTCCGTATCTGTAAGCATTATGGGCATAGTCAATAAAATTGTGCATTTAAATCACATAGTATAGTGGTCAGCAGTCATCAAGAGCTCAAGAATTATTACTAATCAAAGCAAATATTAAATTAAAGTTAGTATAAGAAGTTTGGGATTTTAAAAAGGACATATAGTAGAAGAGAGATGGGATGCTGTACCTATACTGCTACCATCGGTCCAGCGTTCATCCTCATCAAAGTGGGCATCTCCTCCTAGGCCTGGTCCAGGTTCGAAAGCATGAGCCAGCGTGTTTCCTGGTCCATCAAATGGGTAGAAGTCCCCATGAGCTGAAAAAAATAAGGTGATTACCCTTACTGACTGAATTTATCTCCAGTCATTTTATTTTTGATTTTTTATGATTACCGAGGCTAGGAAGATAAGCCCAGTCCAAGAGGTTAATATTGTTATTATCAGTAGTCAACTGCATACACAAGGTGGTTTGGGTATTTATTTGTCACAGGGACTTTTTCATTCACAGAACCATAGCTCATCATTGATAACCACCATATATTGAAAGCTTACTGGAGATGAGAATTTAAATACATTCAGATCTAATTTATGGTTGCTTCTAAGTTTGATCACTTTGCTTGGCCAGACAGTGGCAGGATGAAGAATGAGTGTGAGGACTGTGTTCTACAAGTAACTCGTGTACATTTTAGTATAACTTTTCTTAAAAACCTAGCTTAATCTTTGTGGGTACAGTAGAAAGTTTCCTGGAGAACCATGCTGAAGGTATCTTAACTGGATTTAATGTGATGCAGACCACTTCATTTCCAAACTGGTATCAGGCCATATCCAGTTTATTTCTTCTTGAAAAACATGGAATGCCATGACCGATACTTTCCCTAACATTTTCTTCAATGTTTCAGTATTATGGCTAAGTTCAATTTCAGCTAAATTTACAGCTTCCAGGCATTTTGATATTAGAACAGAATGAAAAGAGCAATGTTTTTCTCTATATTTGCAACATGAAACACTAATAAACAGTAGTTCATGTATGTGGGCTATATCTCCATTATCAACATTACATCAACATTGGTTTATATCAATTTTAAATTAAGAAAAGGGGTTACAACTTCCTAAGAAGCTAGACAACCCCTTTGGACTGTTGTCAACTTCCTTCATGGAGAAAAAGGTAGAAAATAGAGAACTTTCATGGAAAGGGCTTACGTAGATATAATATATATATATATATATATATATATATATATATATATATATATAGAGAGAGAGAGAGAGAGAGAGAGAGAGAGATTAGTACCCTTCTAGTACACTTAGAGCTATTTTTTTATAGCATAGGATGGTAAAATATGACTCATGAGCCAAAACCAGCCCACCACCTGTTTTTGCAAATAAGTATTTATTACAATATAGTCATAATCTTTCAGTTACCTCTTGTCTATGACTGCTTTGGGGCTACAATGGCAGAGTTTAGTAATTGTGACAGAGACCATTAAGCTCACAAATCCTAAATTACTCATTGCCTAGCCCTTTACAGAAAAAGTTTACCAACCTCCGTTTTGTAGCATTAATCATGATACATGTACACACACATGTATATTTACAGAACAGTTTAGATATATTGAAGGTATATGCACACACACATATATATTCATATGTAATTAATGCTATATATCATTAAAGATTTTAAATTCTAAAGAGAGGAGGACACTGATATAAACGATGAGCAAAATAGTACAGAGGATTAGCCCCCAGGAATCCTCCTTACCTCCTCTTGCAAAGCCAATCATGATATCAGCAATTCCCCATCTAATTCTCTTGAAGTGCAGTGGGATTTCTTTGCTCCACATTTCTAAGGCCTTTGCCACTAACTGATTCACTTTGAAATGGGGTAAGTCTCGAGTATATGACATGATCCTGGTAGCAAACAGAAAAAAAAAAGTTTGACCTCTTAGGAAAAGGCTATATTGTTTTTGCCTAAATGAGCTAAAGAAAAACTAACCTGTAGGTGACTACTTTAGAAGTCCATTTTGGGCTACTTGGGAATAGTGAGTATTTGGCAACATCTGGCACTCCACATCTGGGCTTCTGCATTATTTTTATGATTCGAGGGTTTAACATTCCAGTTATAGGCAGGTGGAAGAATTTTTCCATCTCCTTGAGTTTGGCTCCTAAACTGTTGGCATCCTTTGCTTTTGAGTCATATGGATAAAATCTCTTAAGATAGTTCTGTTGGAAAGAGAGTAATTGATCTGTAATCCTTGTTTATTGTCTTTTATCTCAGAAGTCTGCACATTTTTGCCTCTATACCTATGGACTCAAACAATGGTTTGAATAAACAATTGTTACAGAGTCACCATGTAAAATAACTGCATTAATGAAAAGAAAATTTAATATTGATAATGAAGCATTGTCATTTCATTTCATGAGCAAAAGGAAAAAGTCTCTCCCTTTTACCCCATTAACTGTTCTGAGGAGAAGCCCACTGTACACTTTATATAACATAGACTTGTGGGTGATAGCTCATCAGGAAGAGTGACTAGTGTGTCCTCAAGGGGCACAACTGAGACCGTCCCTGGCATCAGAGACCCTCTGGGGAGATTTGAGTCGCCCAGTCCCTTCTAAGATTCTCTGGAGATCTGGTCCCAGCTAAGGTTAATTGAAAGGTGTTAAAACTTTTGTCCTGGGAAAGGATATTATGAAATTATTTAATGTACATATTCTCCAGGTTAAAAAAAAAATCAAAGCTCATAGCAACTAAATGACTTACTCAGGGTCACATATTAAATTAGTAGTAGAATAAAAAAAAAGATTAGTAGCAGAGCTAGCCCTGAGTTTCCTGACTGCCAGGGCTGTGCTCTTTAAACTGTTAAATCTCTAGTAAAACCCATGCTGAGACTGCAGGATGGAGCAGGTCTCCCAGGTGTATTCTATGCACAACTGGTCCCTGGGAATTTCTTAAAGGGCCCTAGTGTCTGGGTATGAGGATAGCTGCTGGACTAAACAGGAAAAAATAAAAAAAGCGAGTGAAATCACAATAGTGGAGGCTGCAACCTCACAAGAACTTTTATTATATGCTTACTAGTGGCAGGGACTACTCTAGGAGCTTTACATACTTATCTCATTTAAACCTCATAACCACCCTGTGAAATAGGTACAGCATTGTTATTCCTATTTTACATGAAGAATCATGGCTCAGGGAAGCAAGTTCACCCCATGAGTAACTGAAGGAAACAGTATTTGAATTTGTGTTCTGTTTCCAAAGGCCACTTCCTTAGAAAAATGCATAGGGCTACCTAATGCATGATAGTGTCATTGAAATGATTTAAAAATGGGCTCACTCACTGGCAGTCTAATCTGCAGCAGGTGAAATGGTTACCTGTCTCAGAACCTTTCAGGTGCATACAGTTGATGTGAGTAACCTCAATAATATTGTGCTCTCTCTTCCTGTTACCAATGATTACATTTCATTAAAAACAGCAACTGCTTATTGTGCATCCATAACAGTTAGGAATTGATCTCTTTTAAAAACAAACAACTCACCCTGGCCGGTTTGGCTCAGCGATTAGAGCATTGGCCCGTGGACTAAGGAGTCGCGGGTTTGATTCTGGTCAAGGGCACGTACCTTGGTTATGGTTCAGTCCCTGGCCCTGATTGGGGTCGTGCATGAGGCACCCAGTCAATGTGTCTCTGTTACATCAATGTTTCCTTCTCTCTCTCTCCCCTTTATCCCACTTTATCTGAGGATAAATGGAAAAATATCCTAAGGTGAGGATTAAAAAAATTCAAAAGAGCCCTGACTGGTTTGGCTGAGTGGTTGGAGCATTGACCTACGGATGAGAGAGTCCCAGGTTCGGTTCCCGCTAGGGGCACGTACCAAAAACAAACAAACCCTAAAAGAACAGACAACTCATTTTATTCATTTTAGAGCTACCAGCTTTACCAAAACACCCTCTGGAGAAAATTTCTTTGTATCCTTGAAGTGACTTTTCCTGCCTTCTGTTAAACCTAGTTAACTTCACTCTAGTTTCCTGGTAACCTGCACACTAAGTAAAGTTTAGGGATTCAATACTCTTGCAAGTGTACTCCTTTTGGAATCCACTAGGTGAAACCATGTGAAATAGCTGTTTTGGAGGTAGAAAAAACAATCAAATATCAATAGTTTCATATGGTTCAATCTAGCACACTACTAGGACGACTAAAAGTCAAAGTTAATTGAAATAAAACCTAAATTTTCTTATGTTTAAAGCTTAAATCTATAAGCAATACTTAGGAGTAAGCATCCCATTATTTTATCAAATAATACTTATTTATACTTATTAGGCTGCTTAAGAAGTAGTATATTGGAAAGAACATGATTTTGAACCAGAAAAACTTTCCTTGACTCCTATCAAAACTCATCTTTGATTTTCCACCACTAACAAGTATGTGAAGCAACTTAACCTTGGTTTCTTATTTTTCCCAGGATTCAGCTAAGGCTTAAATGACATAAGGTATATGCAGTACTTTATAATTGTTACATACATGAAAGTTGATATTGTTATTACTTCATTTACTCACTAGAATAATCCTATGAGCTATAAAACACATAGTATGATTACTTCTATTGGACACATGAGAAAATAAAGTCAAAAGTTCATGCCTTGTCCATCATGATGCTTGAAAGTGGAGAGTACTCACTTCTCCCTGTGTTTTCTGATTTCAAGTCTCTCCATTACAAGCAGTTCTCATTATAAGAGGCAGCACTCTGCTCTTTATGAAAAGAATATCAAGTTACAATAAATAATAACAACTTCAGTTTATTGAGTAGGAACAATGTTTCAGGTACTGTGCTAAGTGCTTCACAACACCTTTATTAGATTGATACCGTTATACTATTCGATTTCCAAATTAGTAAACTAAAGCTCAGAGAAATTTAATAATATTCTTATGCTAATAATATCATCTACATAGTGAGTGGAGGTGAAACTTGAACCTCATTTGAGGGGGCTCTAAAGCCTGCTCTTAATAGCTACTTGATTAAAACATACATTGCCTTTATAAGAGAAAAATTGCTCTGGCCAGTTTGGCTCAGCAGTTAAGAGCATCGGCCCATGGACCAAAGGGTCTCAGGTTCGATTCCCAGTCAAGAGCACATACCTGGATTGCAGGTGCGATCCCTGGGCCTGGTCAGGGTTTCGTGAGAGGCAGCTAATCGGTGTGTCTCTCTCACGTCGATGTTTCTCTCTCTCTCTCTCCTCCTCCCTCTGTTTCACTCTATCTAAAGGTATCCTCAGGTGAGGATCAATAAAAAAAATTACCAAAATTGAAAAGCACCCTTCCTAATGCTGATGGCAAGACCGTGGAGCCCCAGGTGAGTGGGCCAGTGACTTACCTGAGCCTGTTCCCATTGTGGCTTGCTCATGCCTCCTGCCTCCGGGGGAAGTGGCAGAGCCAGGCTGCTTGGCAGCAGACACAGAGCGCACAGCACTGCCAGCTGCATAGCTGTGTCCAGAGATTGTTTTCAGACCTATGGTTGGTTTGGTGTTTTCTGCCAGAGGCTGGAGAGGTTTTATATAGCTTCTCAGCCCTGAATGTAACAATAGGTGACTCATTTGAATGTTTTCTTTCTTTTTGGTGTCTACAGAACTTTGAAGTGTGTGTTATTTTTCGTTAATGACAACGAGGAAGTATCATGCTCTTATTGGCAGGAAGCACACAATGTATTTGTCCTTGGAATTTTTTCTTTTCTGGCTATATAAATTTAATCCATGAGAAAAAACATTTTGTTTGCCAGAATCAAATTGCTACTCAGACATATCTTCTAAATTTAAAATTTTGGGGAACATCATTCAGGACATTACAATGTATCTTAAAAGAATTTAAAAAATTGCCTGGCTGGTGTGGCTCAGTGGATTGAGCATTGTCCCATGGACTGAGAGGTCCTGATTCAATTCCGGGATAGGGCACATGCCCGGGTTTTGGACTCCATCCCCAGTGGAGGGCGTGCAGGAGGCAGCTGATTGATATTTCTCTCTCACATGGATGTTTCTATCTCTCTCTCTAAAAAAATCAATAAAAACACATAAAAAAAGTAATATAATATTAAAAAATAATTAAAATTTGAAATAGAACAGTATGTAAAACATGCAAATACTCAAATAATAATTAAGTGAACATTCTGTAACAGTCACCAAAGTCAAGAAATAGAACGTTGCCAGCACCCTGTGGTTCTCTACATGGGGATTGGTGGCAGATAGAAATGCTGTGCAGTGACTGGTCCGTGGCCACCAGAGAGCCTATGTTCCATTCCCTCACCTTCCTGGGACTTTAGTGGAGCACTAAAAATTCCCTTCTTTAAGTCTCCTTTTAGTCAGATTATTTCTTTTCTTAGAAATTACTTAGAATTTCTCTTGATTTACATGAAAAATTATCAAATAAATAAAAATCTTTAATCATGGGCTTAACTGTTTATCTGCTATGCTAATCATGCTTCACATTCTGTAGAAACAGGTTTTTCCAAAGATAAGCTTTAACTTGGAAATCACTTTATACACTCTTTCTCTTCCAGTCGCTCTGACTCCAGCTGCTGACCAGCTGGTTTGGTCCTGGACACACATAATGTCTATTCTACATATAGCAATTAAGGATCTGGGATCTAGAGATTCTGGTCCAACTACTTCATTTTTACCAAAAATAACATTGAAGTTAAGAAGACAGATTAATTTATTTCCCCAGGGTCACACAACTAGTTTATAGTAGTCCTGATTCCCAGTCCAATGCTTTCTCCATCATATCACACTGCCGTTATTTTGTCATTATATTATATGTGTTAGGGGGAAAGAGCACTGTGGCTTTTGACTGTAATGCATCATGGGAAACAACATATATTCTGGAGCTATAAAATTTAATTATTCAGACATCTTTGAAACCATCTGGTGATTGGATGTTATGTGTTAGCAAAGGTAAAATTTCCAGATCAATTAATTAAAATTTCTTTCTTTACACAGTTGCTTTAATTCTGCATAGTCGCAGTTCAACTATACTTGAAGACCTGTTACCTTTAGTCAGCGTCTGGTATGTAATAGGTGCACAATAAGTGTTATAAAATAAATGAATATTTATGAACTTAGATAAGCTAATTTGGAAGTTATATGAGGTTTTCCATGATCTTTGCATTGAATTTAAGTTAGAAGGCATTTCCAGATTTTATATTTTATTTATTTTTGTTTCTTTTTAGTACTTCAAAGAGCATTTAGCATTACAGATATTTAAAATAAATTTTAGTACCTCTCTTGAATATTCACTTTTGGATAGGGAAAAAGAAGTTTTCTCTTTTTCAGCTAAATTGTAATTAGTAAAAAAAACCCAGAGGATCAAATTTCAGTCTCTGTCTTTAGAAATTTATGCTCTGGAGTGGTTATATGAAGATGTAAATACTCTTAAAACAATGTGAAAAATGCTTGTAATATGAAACACTACCAAGGAGAAGGGAGCAGCTAATCTTTCCAATGGTAATTGAAAAATGATTTATATAGGAGGTGGAGTTTTAGCTGCATTTTGGAGGGTAAATAGGAGTTCCCTTGGGATAAGCAATTATAGGAAGAGTTCGTGGGAAGAGAGGAGCAAGAATAGAGAAGAGTGAGCAGTCGGTGTTGCTGAGTTGGGGTGGCGGTGAGGGTCTGGAAAAGCAGATATGGTCAAGTTGTGAAGAGCCAGCCTTGTATGCTAGGGAGTTTGGACTTTATCCTAAAGGGTGTCAAGGAATGTTTTAAGGGAAGACATAGCCTTATCAGATTTGAAATTGTAAGAAAATCTTGGTGGCTAATCTGAAGATGGATTGTGGAAGCAGAGATGACCCTCTGTAGAGGAATATTAGAAAGGCAGACAGATCAAGAAAAGGTTATTATAATCCAAGTAGAAGAGGGAAGGTGAGGCCCTGAGCTAAGACTGACTGAAGGGATGGAAAAAAGGAAGAAAATTCAAGACCTATATAGAAGTCACAATTGATAAAAACAAAACAAAACAAAAACTTAGGAAATGCTTTGTTGCAGGAGTGAGGAAGAGAGACTTAAACGAGATCGAAATGTAATGGACTCAGTTCATGGTAGTACAGTTGTTACAGAGACAAGGCTTATAGGAGAAGAAACAAGAACAGGGACTTGGTTTTGGTTAAGCAATGGCATCAATTTTGAATATTGAGTTTGTACATTTTCAGCTGAATAATAAGATTGGGAGCTCATAAGAGTGATCTGATTTGTACATACAGGTTGTGAGAAACTTATTTCTAAAGAAAGAAAACCATGCTTTTTAATTGTGGTAAAATATGTGTAATACAAAATTTACCATTTGAGTAATTTTAAATATACAATTCAGTTGCATTAAGTACATTCACAATGTTGTGCAACCATTGACAATATCTATTTCCAGAACTTTTTCATCATCCCAAACAAAATCTCTTTAAACAATAACTCTTTCCTTCCTCCTTCCCCTAGACCCTGGTAATCTCTATTCTATATCTTGTCTCTACGAATTTGACTATTCAAGGCACTTCATATAAGTGTATTCATAGAGTAGTTGTCCTTTTGTGTATGGATTATTTCACTTAGCATAATGTTTTCAAAAATTATCGATGTTGTAGGATACATCAGAGCTTCATTCCCTTTTATAGCTGAATAACATTCCACTGCATAGGATATACCACATTTTATCCATTTATCAGTCAGTGAATGCTTGGGTTGTTTCCATTTTTTGGCTATTGTGAGTAATTGTGCAGTAATTATCGATATACACACATCTGTTTGGATCCCTGTTTTCAATCATTTTGAGTGTATATGTGGAAGTGGGGTTGCTGGGTCATATGGTAACTCTGGGCTTAGCTTCTTCAGGAACCACAAGACTGTTTTCCACAAAGGCTGTGCCATTTCGCGTTACTACCGCCAATATATGAGGTTAAATTTCTTCACATCCTGTCAACATTTGTTATTTTCCGTGTTTAATTTCTTTTTTACAACCATTCAAGTAGGTGTGAAGTTATATTTTGCTCTGGTTTTGATTTGTATTTCTAATGATTAATGTATGAAGTTGAGCATCTTTTCATGTTCTTGTCCCCTTGTAAGTAGACAAATGTCTTTTCAAATCTTAAGCCCATATTTTTAATTGGGTACTTTGTCATTAAATTGTAGGAGTTCCTTATATATTCTGAATGTTAAATTCTTATCAGATACATGATTTGCAAATATATTCTCCCTTTCTCTAGGTTATCTTTTCACTTTCTTGATAATATCCTTTGGTATACAGAAGTTTCTAATTTTGATGAAGTCCAGTTTATCTTTTTTTTTGGTTGTTCTTACTTTTGGTGTCATATTTAGGAATTCATGGCCAAATCAAAGTCATAAAGATTTATGTCTGTTTTCTTCTAAGTTTTATATTTTTAGCTCTTATATTTAAGAGCTAAATATGCTTTTTTTTTTTTTTTTCTAGCTTTCCTTTTCTACTTTTGATTTTCTCCTGCTGCAGTGTGATCTTCTGCTTTAGTGTTCTGACCAGGCTGATTCAACTTGTTATCATGTTAAGTCATTCAGCCCTGGTCAGTTACCTGCTGTGTCACAGTATAAAGTACTTAACCTCTCTGTGCTTCATATTCCTTATCTGAAAAATGGAGATAGTACCTTTCTCTTTGGGTTGTAGTGAGAATTAAACAAGAGCATTAAGTGTACAAAAGACGCAGCAGTGTTTTTGGAGCATGGTAAGAGTTCTATAAATGCTAGTTTGTATCACTGTCATTGTCAATATTTGCTAGGAATTTTCATGTATTATAATGTCCTTTTTCTTTTACCTATTAACCTAGCATGGTGATCAGATAATTAAGTAGAAAAAAAAGTAGAGGTTTAAGTCATTTTGTTCCAATAATTTTATGGATATTGATAATGCCAATGTTTTCTGAGAAACAAAGAAGTAACTATTTTAAATATTACAATGTAGTATGTTATAATAACCACTGACCTTTAAACAAGAAGAGCATTTGAAGTATTTATCAATAAAACCTTTGGGTGGATAGTATGAACAATAGAACCTATTTACAGGAGAAAAGTTCACCAAAATTGAAATCAAGTAAATTAGGTGTTAGGACAAGTCACACAACTGGTGAAAAAGGTGAAGGGATTAAGAAGTACAAATTCATTGCTAGACTGACAAACCTCAAAGGGAAAGGGGTTGGGGGGTGGGTGGGAAGAAATAAACCAAAGAACTAATATGGATAACCAATGGACACAGACAATAATGTGGGAAAAGGCGGGAGGGGGGCGGGAGTGGGGAGGAGGGGGTCAATGGGGAAAAAATGAGGAACATCTGTAATACATTCTACATTCAACAATAAAGATAAAAAAAATAAATAAAATGCATGGAAACATTTCACATTCAGGAGATGAGTTTATACAGAGGAAAGGAAGGCAGTAAATTTAGCTGATGCTATGAGCAGCCCTCCCACTACATCTGCGTGAGAAGCTGTCGGTCAAGGTGACATCTGAGCTATTGCAGCAATGCTGTCCT